CATTCTTGTTGTCGGCATGGATTTTCATTGGAGACTAGACAATTGGACCCACAAATTATTTGTAAAATCCTGCTACTAATTATTTAATAAATCTTTTGTACTGATTTTGTCAAATAGTTTTTGGAGCACCAAGCCAAGAACCAGAAAAATGGCATCAATCTAGAGTGGTTGTTTATAATTTTGAGCATAGTTAGGGTTGGGTTGGTTTTTTGGCCCTACGTGAATCGAAATCAACTTGGTTGCGATATGGATAAAATTCAACCCAAATTTATCTAATCCTGCTATTGAAATCAATCCGAACAAGTTTGAACACTGATTTGAGTCAAAATATAGATACACACATATAAATGATCTAATGAGTACTGGTGCTCATATTCTATTAGTCATAGATGTCACGTCATATAAATTTATTGGTGAATTTTAAATCTAATTCAAATGTTGAAACACACCAATAGTTTATCTATCAATGAATTTATATTGTACATCACAGTAATTATTATAAGATAAGTACCAGTGCTCATTAAATCACACACACGCACACGTGTTAAACACTGGTTATGGTCGATTTCTCCAAAATCATTCTATATATCCGATAACTTACCAACAAAAAATTACACCAAAATGAAAGCAAAACTACAATATGAATTCAGAGTTTACAATAAATAATTATTCTCCTTACTTTTCTTTTCATTTGGAATTAGGAGTTTTGGTAGAAGAGGAATAGTAGAGAAATTATTTGAAAAAATATTATGTTTTTTTTTTAAATTCGAATTTTAAAATAAAAAAGAAAAAAATGTATCAACGGATTTGATCGGTTAATTGACAGCTAGACTTCTCAATGGTTAAAAGTAACCGATACAAATAGATATTTTGGTTCAAATTGATCCAAACCAACGCTCTTCGATTTGATTTAGTTGATTTTTTTTTTATCTTTTTTAATATAGGCCTAATTGTTCACCAGCTACACTCATACTCTTTTTTTATTTTAATAAAACTATAATGCAAAGATATGCAGCACTTGACATTTGCTATCGTTTAGTATATTAGCATTATTTTATTTAAGACTAATAGGGCTAGCCTTGGCCAAGGCTAACTAGGCTATCGCCTAAGGCCTTATGAGAAAAAATCCAAACAATAACCATTCACAATTCGCCCAATTCCTAAACAAACCTATGGGTTTTAGCTAGGACTAGAGGAAGAGAAGCTTTGATTTATATTCCCCAGTTTCGCCAACCGCCGTCGCCACCGGAGGATTCCAAGAAGAAAGAGATTGTTGCTGTCGCCACTGGAGGATGCCAAGAAGGAAGAAAAGAGGTTGTTAAAGAAGAAACAAAAGAACAGAAGTTTTGTTACTTTTCCATTTTCTTCAATAGTTTGCTTAGGATACTGATTTGTGCCATCAACAAACCCAAATAGATGTTCCCTTTGTTCTCTATTTAGGTATTTGAATTGCTGTGGTCAATCCATTTAAAAATAATACATTTCCCCTGAAAGCTGGTCTTTTTTTCCCTTTTGATTTACATAAAAATAGTAGTTTGCTAACTGGTATTGAATTAAGGGAAAAAGAACAAGATGCTTCTGGAAAATAGCCCATAACTATTCTAAATTATTATGAAGTGAGCAGAAGGCATTTTAGGTGGGTGGATGGGGGTATGATTGATAGGATAAATTAAAATGCATTGTGCTCATTAGAGATTTAAACTGCATCGAAGTAAGAGAGTCTTGCAATGGGATTAAGGAATACTTGACGTTGATCTTGCACTTGTTATTTGTGGGAACCTATCATCCTTTTCTTCTTTTTTTTTTTTGTTCTTAATTATCCCTTTTCTCCTTTTTTTTTTTTTTTTTTTTTTTTTTTACATTTTTGTGCTCAACTATCCTTCTTTGCTGCGTCAATTCTTGCAAGAGATGCTGATTGGATATGTTTGTAGGTGAATCGACCATTCTGATATTGCTCTTTAGGTTTTTCATGCCCATACTGTAAATGTAGGAATAAAAACTTCTATTTCGCTGAAACTTACTTAAAAGTCATGGGTATGGTTGTTCGAAGTGACATGTATAAGCCACTCTATTTCTTTTGATAATCTCAATTGTCCACTTTAACGTTATCTCCTTTTCTTTGATCCTTGATGATTTTTGTATTTAGTTAGAACAAATCATAATACTATTCATCATCAATTCAAGCTATTATGAGAAAGAATATACAAATGGGAATCTCTAATGCTTTATATTCAATAAAATGTAGTATAAAGAGCAAGTTAGAATCTAAGTTACTTATTTGCTTCATTTTGGTTTTATTGCTCTATTTTTGTCTCAATTGAGTGCCAGTGGCACCTATCAAATCTTTCAGTTCAATGTAATGAATGCATTGGTGCTCTATTAAGGCACTTAATAGATTTTCAATTTCTACATTTAGAATATTCTCCATCTTCACTAGCCTTAGTTGTATATGATGAGCTTATGTAAAACTTTGAAATAACACTGCTAGAATTCTTGGGAATCAACGAGTGGTAGATTGAAGCTGCCAAAACATATTAAAACAACAGGAAAAAATAATTCTTCCAACCTTGGATTGACTAGTCTTTGGAGTTCAAAGAAACTATGCTAAAGACATACCTTAATATAGCTGTAACAGACTTCCTATTGGGATTTTGATCCTATTTGTAGCTGAGTCCAGCTAGTGTAGAGATCATATCGTTGTAGTAAAAATCAATATTTAACCAAAGGTTCAACTATTGACAATTGGTCTCAACTTGCTCTTGTGACATATTTTCTCTCTCTTTTCTTAAGTATTGCTATTCTTGTTAAAAAAAAAAAAAATTAATTTATGTTCAAGGACCTCATATTAACCAGGTGACTTATGTTCAAGGGCCTCATATTAATTAGTCACGTAGGACCTCAAAGTTCTCATGACCGACCCTAACTAATATTGACATTAAATTACACTCATTCTCAATATTTTTAATTGAACCTATAATTAATGTTATATGTGTTTTCAAGTAAATTCTTGTTAAGTACCAGTACTGCTGCATAGCATTATTCTTATTCTTACCGACATTTTTAGTAAAAAGGTGTAAATTGAGTCTAAGATTACTGTGGCTTTATATGCCCTCAAATTTGAATCAAGTAAAGAATAATGATATTTGTATCACTTGCCGTAATCGTTAATGTGACAATGAGATAACTATCATAGAGATTGGTGACCATCTATAGTTAAAATAAATAATATTGCTAAGCTCATGCGATGTAAATTAAAATCAAAATTTATAAAATTTTGATAAAATTTTGATGAAATGTAGGGTTAAAATTTAATGTTGATTTTTTTTTTAAATTTAATTTAAATCCAAATCAAACAGGCTAGGTAAATGAGGTTACCGACAAAGATGGGGAAAAAAGGGCAAGAGACACAAAAGTAATTAACTTTTGGAAAAGCAAAAGGGTCCCCTAATATTTGCAAAAAGCTTAAATGTATCTAACCTTTAAATCTTGACAGTACCATCCTTAATCTTTCATACACGTAGATGGACAAGTCTCAATTGATTGAATTTATCCAAACTCAATAGTAAATAAGTACCTGACTAGTGCATGATGTACATTTTTTTGGTTAAAAGCAACATATGCAATCACTTTTAATTAAGAAATTATAAATAAAAATCAATCTTCTTCCTTATGGCACCACATCTATACGTTGGCTAACAAACAACTTGCCATCTCTAGAACTAAAAATTATCATTTGAAGATAAAGTGGACAGTCGAGAATACATTTTTCCTATTCATAATAATTATACATATTTACTTTCTCACATATTCATTGACTTAATAATTATTTTCAATAAATAATTCCATCACTAAAATCCAAATGCAATGTCTGCATATTGGTGTTATTCGTGGTCAGAAAGATTGTGGAAACTTTATGCCTATCGATTATCAATTTGTAAGGAAATCGTCCATAAGTATTGTTTTAAGATGGATAGCATTAGTAGGTAAACAAGGTTAATACGGCACGACATGATTATTTTAAGCTTATCAAATAAGAGAAGAAACAAAAACAACAAACAATTAAGAAAATTTCAAAAGGAACTCTAATAGTTGTAAAATGTGTAAATGTCTCTAACCTTCAAATCTTGGCATTATTATTTTTACTCTTTTCGTGAAGCTGAGCAAGTCTCAAAGGACGGATCCATTCAAATTAAGAGCAAATAGGTATATGACTAGCGAATGATCTATTTTTTGTTTGAAAGTACACTTAAGCCCTTACTTTTAATTAAGAAATTACAATAAAATTTACTTTTCAAGCACTACATCTGTCCACTCATCCCATTAAACAACTTCCCACCTTTTGATACAAAAATTATCAAAAGAAAAATTATGTGTATTGCGGGTGTAAACTTATCCGACAAGAAATTTCGCTACCTTATGATTGCTATAATTATTTATCATCATCGTTCATTGGAGTTTCGATTGATGACTTCTTTATCATTAGGCCACCAACTTTCTTGACCTTTAGGCATTGGGTAGGCATCGATCCATATACATGATCTTACGACTTTATGAAAATATGTTTTTGATAAACAGTCGTTTGAGCAAATGAGAATTATTTTTTTAATTAACGATAATTATACGTATTTAATTTCTCAAACATTCGCTGATTTATTAGGTATTGTTAATAACTAATTTCCATCACTCCAACCCAAATGCAATGTCCCCAGTTCTGAGTTCTTTGTGGCTTGAAGGACACTGAAATCATTATTATTATAGACACTCAGTTTGTACTTTGTACGGAATTCATTCATAAAGTATCGATGTGCTATTGCGACTAATGGAGTTTGGGATCGATTTGCACTTTTTGTATAGAGTATGGACTTCAGCTATAATTATCTCTAAATAACTTATTCTTTTAAAAAAGAAAAAAGAAAAAAAAGAGGATTCCACGTAGTTAGCGCGTCATGCTTCACCCTTTACTGAGGGGAATTTTGCCTATAAAAACGTTAAAATGAGAATGAAACCCTAAATCTGAAGAAGAAAAAGAGACCACTTCTCTCTCCTGAAGCTCTAAGCTATCTTCAAAGCCGCCACCGGTCTAATGCTTCAATTTTTCTCTTCAAATCCAACGATTAGGTACCCATTTATGCATCTATTGCTGATCTATACAAATTTAGTTTCTACAATGTGTTCAACTTCCCTATTAGGGATATGGTAAGAATTTCTTTTGTATTAGTGAACAGAGGAGAGAAATTTTGATTTATATTCGTATGTTTTATGTTTTCATTTTCATTTTTTTTTTTGGGATAAATAGAGCTTGGATCTGTCCTTAATTTGAAGAAACTGCAATAAAAAATTCCCAATTGAAACCTGTTTGGTCAAGTCATAAAGAAAATGGGACTCAATTAATAAGTTGATTTTATTGGTTTTAATGTTAATGAAATGAGTATATCCTCAAAACCGCAATATGTTCATTGGAAAGATGTACAGTCGATCTCAATGAAAATTTGTTGACAACTTGGAAAGAGAAGTCAGATTCAGGTCTAATTTTGTTCCATTCTTTTGTCTTTGCCAGAAGAAAATGGTGCTAGAGTTCTTCGTTTTCAAGAGGCTTGGCAATTTACTAAATTTGGAAGGGAAGTCTTGTGTAGAGATGACTCACCTGGTGCTCCACTTGGAAACTGTTATGAAAGTTGGAGTTGCAAAAAACGATATAGCTGGAAGAAATCGTGATCTTGGCATGGGAGGCATAGGAAAAGTTATTTCTCAGTTACTCAATTTGCAAGGTATGGATCCTATATATACAAATTTGGAAAATTCTTTTAATGAGCTAGTAGAACTATTTATTTGTTATTCTTTTGAAAATAGGTTCTGGCAAATGTCATGGTTAGACTTCCTGAATATGATATTAATTGTTTTTTGTAAAATCATTGCATTATTTTAATGTTTAATACGTTGGTAGTGACTAGTTAGCTCTTATTTCTAGAATGAGCTATTTCTAGAATGAGCTATGTTTTAGTTATAAACAAATATATAGATTATAGATCCAAAAATTTCTTTGTTTAGAATTAACCTATAATTACTTTATGGGAAAGACTTCCTTTGGGGGCAAAAGTTGTTGATTTGGTAATGATGTTTTGTGTGGTTCATATTTGCACAAATTGGAGTGTGATTCCACATTGTTTGAGGTGTTCGATTGTATACTCGAAGATTTTGTTGAGAACAAGTCTTGACTCATTATTGTAATTAAAATTAAATCTTAATCTCGTTATGTATTCTAAAAGTTGATTATGATTATTTTGTTTTTGCAGGAAACTTCTATTAATTTTCTTGAGTCCATAGAAATTAATATTGTTATGGATTGCTGAAGGATTTATAGAGAAAGTTCAGTAAAAGAGTATAGAGGACTTTGCACCTTGGAGTATCTAATAGAACTAATATATAATATATTATTCAATTTGTGCTTTAAAATAGTTAAAAAAACAATATTTTACTTTTGTAGAAAAAGGACATTGATATTCTTAAAATTGAAGAAATTGATATTGATAAGGGTTGTTGAAGGATATGTATATAAAAATAGAGCAAAAGAACTTAGAAGATGTTGCGTGCTAGAATATCTAATTGAGTTAAGACACGAGCTTTGTATTAGTTGTCAAATGAAGATATAATGGAGTTAAACTTGTAATATACTTGATGTATTATGATATGTTTTTAAGAATGGACAAATAGTGATTTTTTTTTTTTTTTAATAGAGATCCAAGAGTATATTCTCTCTCTATTTTTCTTTTCTTTTTTTATTTTAATATGTGGGTTGGTGATAATCATGTTGGCCATGTTTGGTTGCTATTGATTTTTCACTAGTTTCTTTAGTCAAATAGCATGTCCATGTGTATTCGCACATGCTCTTTTTGTCTGGTTATTATTTTACTCGAGACACTTGGGTTTTACGTGTCCACCCTTCGTTATGCCATTCACATGATTCTCTGATCTTCTAAAACTTCTTCTCGTTTCATTTTTTTTTTTTGTCATTTTTAATTCTAACAGAACGAAGAGTCTAATATTTATACCCATAAAAAAATAAGACATGAGAATTGCATTGCTTGATTTTGATTTTTTGAGAAGCGAATTTGTGAGTAAATTTTTTTCTCTCTCTCGAAAATGTATGACTAGGGTAGGAAAAATTAATTTTCTTTAATAATTATTTGTATTACAATGCTTTGACATTTGAATTATTAAATAAAAACAATAGAATAGTATTTTAGCATATAAAAATAGATAAGTACTAAGTTACTTAATATTTGAAATTAGTATATTAATTAACGCAAATTTATATTGTAAAAGATGATTTTCTTGAGCACAAAACGAAGAATTTTATTTAATAGTCTTTACTTGAACAATCACATCAATGAAGAGTGGTAGTTGTTTACTTGCTGCACTCAATCGTATTCTTTTATTGTTTAGTATAAGGAGAATTAGTTGAGATGGCCATTCCTCAATATCATTTTGTTCAAAAGCATTTGATCAATTTTTAAAACTAAATGAAATTTTAATTATTTAAAAATCTCAAAATTCCAATTTGCTCTTCCATTTTATAACTACTAGTCGTTGTTATGTGCGTTGCACGAATTTTGTATTTATTATATTTTTGTTAGTGTATGAATTTTAGTTTTTTGGAATGTTTTTGAAATAATATCTAAAAATGTTTTTGTGATATAAGAAAATGATTGCAAATTATTACTGATTTTTACAATTGCATAAAAGTATTTTGTCACATTTAGATAAAATATGTTTGAATAAGAAATATATGAGGTTATACAAACTATTTTGTTTTTATTGTTGACATTCAATGTTTGACAGTATTGATATGATTGACTTGAACCTAAAGATTATGTTTCTAAATCTTATGCAAGTCCAAATAAGTTGGAAAATTGAAGTTTCATACACAAAGTTTATTTTAGAATAACAGTAAATTAATTTATAGAGAAGTAATGGATCGATTATCGCATACTTTGTGTACCATGAACATTGACAGTTCGTTATTGCAGCTCAAACATGTATGTGTCACCTATTTTGAAGTTGTTTCTCTTTAGCATATTGTGACCAACCTGTAGTAAAACATCATACGTTACCATTTGTTGTAAAACTCGTAGAAATAGTCCAAGTACAATGCGAACAGTCATGGATTCGAACACTTCGTATAAATTTGGGTAGATGTTATCCACTGAATCTTGAAGGTACATGCTAAAAAGTAAAATAAAAATGAGCGAAACAAGGAATTTAAAATTGTAGAAGCATGAGTAAAATGAAAACTTACAATTTTGCAACCTTCATTATGTTTGAATGTTAGCCTAAAGACAGGATTTCTTGTATTGAATGTCTCTTCTTCAACAACTTCGAAGTCGGAGTGGTATGTATCATAAGTTACTTCTAATTGTGAATCGTCAAATATTGAATGTAAAATTTCTAATATATTCGAACACAATAATATAATCATCTTGTAAATTGTGATTGTCGAAGAATTGTTCCAATTCACCAGCTAAATAAATGCCATTGTGAATTCTTTCTAGTTATATGGTAGCAATTATACCATCATATCCAATTAAACGTATTTTGTTTAACTTAAGTGAGATCTTACATTGATGAATAGAACAACATGTTGAATAGAATGGGTGATTGAGAATCAAATATGAAAGCTATTGTTGGTTGTTTATAGCAAAATACTCCTGGCTCTAGCAATAAAATCCGTGACAGGAAAGCAAGACTTGAACAAACTCATTGTAAAATGTCCTCAAACGAGAAGTATAATAAGAAGATAAAATTTTCATGTTATCCTCTAGAGGACTATTCTATGGAGAGGTAGTCAACAGTTAGAAATTGGGTGAAACTGAATAAATCGGGATAAAAAATCTAATTCTAACTTAATAGTTACATTGTATTCGTTTTCCCTCTTTTTTTTTTTTTTTATGTACATAAGACTTTTCTATAATTACTAGTGAAATGCACGTGCATGGCACGTGTCATAGTACAGTTGGCTAAGTACTAACGTAGGTAAAAAAAAAATTGTGTTAAGTAGTTATACAAAATAACCCCTTAACATTGCCTGTATATAGGTGCTGAATTTCAAAAGCCCTATTCTGTAGACAACCTTTAATGATCGACAAAAGCCTCAAATTTTGTATTTGTCCGGACACAATAGTACGGTAGATCTATAATGGACTTCACACTCACAATTTCAAACCACAAACTCAATATAAATTATGATAAAAGTATGCATGGCCTTGAAAATACAACCTTTCATATATTTCCCTAATAAATTTAATTCACACGTATGCTTGTCACAATCAGATAGCTACGGGTGACAAATCGAAGTTGCTGGAACAAGAAGAAAAGCAAAAAGTTTGCAGAATTTCTCAAAGGTACAATTTTCTATCACAATTTCTATCTAAACGCAGAAAGATCCTTGGTGGAAATCGAAATCCGTTTTTATTTTTGCTGCACATGATTAAGTAGATTCACAACAGTAGGACTATTAATTAGTATATTTTTTGAAGGAATAACTTTAGAACTCCTTCTACAAAAAAGACAAAGATACCATTGTGCAAAATCAACATTTCATCATGGACAGTCACAAGCCATATGTCAAGATTTCTTATTAATTTTGTGTGTGTCTATTATTTAACCAATATAATCTATAAAGACTTATAACAAACAATTAAGAATATACCTTAAAATTGAATTTAAGCTGTGTAATCTGCTTGAAGATTCTAGTAAGTTTTTTATCGTGAACTAAATTCAAGATTTCATGATAGACAATATTTTTGATACAAGAAATATGTGATTTTTTTTTTAGACAAAAGGTTTGATCAAAACTTTTACATTTTCCCTTGTTCTAGCTCGGGACAATGCAACATACAATTAACCATGGAAAACTACGGGTTCTAGAAGATATAATTCAACAAAATTTAGAGTTTGACTTTGAGCTTTGTTAATGGTCATTGCAAAACAAGGACGGAGTGAAAACTGAGTTCTTTTAAATGGTACAAACTGTTTATCGCCTTCAAGTGGAATGAGTAGAATTTTAGGTAAAATTACTTGCTTTCCACAATATTCTCCTGTTTCAATTTCAGTCAGAATAACATTTTGCTTAAAGTCACGGACAAATAAGTTTAGTCCCATTGCATAAACCTTCTACATGATTAATATTTCTAAGCAATATAATTGGACAATTTTTTTTTTCAATATGAATTCATGTGGAGGTATACCGTTTGGAGCTAGATTATTCAAAAAATATTCATCAATAAATTCTTCACTTTTATCAATAACTTCACTAAAACTAAAATATGTAACTTTCTCTCGCGAAATTCGTTTAAGTAACATACTATTTATTAAATCTACACATTCATTTTTTGGGGTTAAAATAATTCTATTCATCATAATATTTAGGTTGTCTCCATATATTTGGAAATTAGGAAACACAATGTCAATTAATTCCTTCAGTGATTTAAATTCATCTTCAAAATTGATGGTAATATCTTCCAGAATTGTAATCATTTGGCATGAATATATTATCTCAATTCCATTCCCAATGTTCAACAAATATTCATAAAATGAAGGACTAATTTAGCTCTCATATTTTCAACTAGTGGTAGCTGTGTAAAAGAATGCTATAAATGTGAAAAAACTAAACTTCACTTTATTATATCGTCTTTTGTTCCTCTCTGTACTATTGGTAAAACCTGACGGAAATCTCCTCCACACACAATTACTTTTCCATCAAACAGTAATTGACATTCAATAATGTCTCTTAACATTTTATCTAAAGCCTCAAAAGCATATTTATGAACCATTGATGTTTCATCCCAAATTATTAGTCTAGCCAATGCTAAAAGTTTACCAAGGGCATATTGTTTACTCATAGAACAGCGCATATTAGAACTTATTTGAAGCAAAATTTTGAATTTTGAATTTCCTATTTGACCAACTGGTAATAAAAATGCAGCTACACCTGATGATGTTGTTGCTAATACGATAAGATTTCGAGATCATCACTAGATGGTAATGCTTTGTACAAATACGTTTTTCCAATATCTCTTGGGCCATCGATAAAAAACATTCCATTCTTATTACTTAAAACACAATCCAAAATAATATCATAGGCATCTTGTTGCTTTTTATTTAAACTCTCAGTGTAATGTATGTCTGACTGAAAATTAATATTGGTTGTTTCTTCAACAATCATGGTTCAAAGATATCATCATCATTCAAACTTAAATCAAAATTTACCAAACAAAAATCAATTATATTCTTACCAGCACCTTCTAAAAAAGAATTTATACAGTGTAAAGCTTTCATCTCAGTACCTTGTTGTGTCAAACCTTTATGTAAATAATCTTCTATCATAAAACCTTTAAACTTGTCCCATAAATTCCTTGGATTTGTAGGCAACATAAACTCAACATATTGGCAAAAAGTCACTGTAATGATATGGGTATTTGGTAAGCGACTGCTTCAAATAAACACATTTTAGAATAGCTATTTCTACAAAGAAGATCATGTGAAAGTGCTGCTTCACAATAAGTAGATAGAACAACACTATTGACTATTTTTAAATCTTCAAAAAATATTTTGGTCCTCTAATATGATTAAGTCAAACTCTTAAAAAATACCTCCTACCCTCATATGGATTAGTGCGACTATTGTACCAATAACATCCTTGCTTTTTCTGGGACTCCAAATTCGCATGGATGCATCCCATACAAAATAGGTTGGAAATTTTTTATATAGTAGAATTTTTCTCTTTTCATTTGAAATATTCATTCTAAAGAATTCTGTTAACATTGTTCGGTGAACAAAGTCTTTATTTATAACTTTTGAT